TGTGTGTGTGTGTGTGTGTGTGTGTGTCAACAAAAATAATATACTTGACATATAATATACCACTGTGCTGTGTAATGCGGTCACTAAATATCATGTATCTGGCTGGCTTATGGTGGAGAGCCTCTGAAGTAGTGGTTGGGGATGATATTGAGAGTAGAGTTTAAACTTTGCTTTGGTGTGCTTGATTTTGGTTATAGCACTGCCAGGTGGGTAGTTTTCTGGTGATTTGACTTCTATAAACATATATTTTAGGAAATTTGGAGAAATATTTCATAACAACTGAAAGCCTAGCCACACTGTGATTCAACATAAAAATGCAATGACCCTATCCTTTGAAAATTATTGTTCTGTTTTCTACCTCTCCCTCCAGAAAAGAAGCTTCACTTTCTATAATTATATAATTTTAAAAATTTCTCACATACAAAATAATGGCATTGAATATGTTTTTCAAATTGTACACACTTCATACACGTTCCCTTAAAACACAGAATATGCTCTTCTTCACATCCTACCTCAAGTTTAGGGATACACTATTCTTCCTTTCTCCTTGAGGACAGGGTCATTTTTTGACTAACTGTTCTTCTCAAATATTGCCTCAACAGTTCATAGTACCGCAAAATTAAAAATGGAGGCCAAGGTGAATGCCAGAAGATTTTGCACTCTTTTTTTTAAGTTTCCTTTTATTTTTATTTTTAAATGAGATTCTGCATTTCTAACATGCTCCCAGCTGATGCCAATGCTGATGGTTCCTGGCCACATCTTGAGTTAGCAAGGTGCTGGCTTCAAAACTTGGTTGCAAATCAGCCGGGCATGGGAGCGCATGCCTGTAATTTCGGCTACTTGGAAGGCTGAGGCGGAAGGATCGCCAGAGCCCAGCAGGTCGAGGCTGCGGTGGCTGGGAGTGGCCACTGCACTCCAGTCTGGGCGACGGAGTGAGACTCCAACTCAAAAACACAAAAAACAAAAAACTTGGTTGCACAAATAAATGATACATATTTGATATGATAGGTATGCTAATTACCCTGATCTGATTACTATATATTATATGTATTGAAACATCACTACATATGCCATGAATATGTACGATTCTTTTTTTTTTTTTTTTTGAGTTGGAGTCTCACTCTGTCGCCCAGACTGGA